GTGTTATGAAGAGTTCTTGAAAAGAAAGACGTTAATAACGTTTATATTCAAATCATTAAAGATATGTATGTAAGAGCTATTACTTGTGTTCAAACACAAGGTGGTTTGAGCAAGTATTTCCCTATTTCGATTGGGTTACATCAAGGATCAGCCTTAAACCCATATCTTTTTGTTTTAGTCATGGATATTCTCACTAAACATTTGCAAGAGGATGTACCTTAGTGTATGCTTTTTGCTAATGATATTTTCTTATTGATAAGACTAGAGAAGGAGTCGAAGTTAAACTTGAATTATGGAGGTCAACCTTAGAGTATAAAGGTTTTCACTTGAGTAGATCTAAAACGAAATATATGGAGTGTAATTTTAGTAGTTATAGACCTAGTGAGAGGATTGTGACTTTGGGTGATCAAGTCATTAATAAGAGTACACATTTTAGATATCTTGGATCTATTGTTCAGAGTGATGGTGAAATAGATGGGGATAATATCAGCAGAATTCAAGTTGGATGGTTGAAGTGGAGGAATGCATCGGGCTTGTTGTGTGATAGAAAAGCACCCCTCAAACTTAAAGGAAAATTCTATAAGATGGTAGTGAGGCTTGCAATGCTTTATCGTGCCGAATGTTAGCCATTAAAAGAGAAGCATAATACTAAGTTAAGTGTGACAGAGATGAGGATGCTCAGGTGGATGAGTGGCTTTACCCTTAGAGATAGGATACGAAATGAGCATATACGTGAAAAGGTTGGAGTAGCTCCAGTAGAAGATAAGATTAGAGAGAGTCGCCTTAGATAGTTTGGTCACATAAAACGGCGGCCTGGCGATGACCCGGTTAGGAGAGTAGAGGTATTAGATTTGACTTGTGTTAAGAAAGGTAGGGGTAGACCTAAAAAGACTTGGTTAGAAAATATTAGGAATGACCTTTCTTTATTAGATTTAAACGAGAATTTGACTTTTAAATGGACACAATGGAGAAAAAGGATTCATATAGCCGACCCCACTAGTAGTATAAAGCTGTTCGCTTTTGTGTTAAGCTTCATTTTTAAATTTGATTCATATTTAATATAAACTTTAATTCACATTATAAACTTATAATCTTACTGTTAAAATGCATTTAGTAATTTATATCATATATTTTAGATGTAATACAAATACCTTAAATCTATAAAATTTCACATTACAAATTTGGATATATATATAATAATAATATATTCTTAAATATATATATAATAGTCATATATATCACTCAAATTAGTTCATTTAAATAATTAATAATTTAAAAAATATAAAAATTCATTACTATTCTAAATCAATTAGGAATTTCTGTATAATAAAATTAATATGTACCATAGTAATGAACTTAGTAACTTCAATATAGTTATTTAGTCCAACATACTTGCAAGAATTCTCTTTAGTATTTGTTTCTATAGCTTTTTTTAGGTCGTAACATGTTAAGAGTCATATGAAAAGTGGTGGGTCAGATGTGAGCATGCTTGTTGGTACTTCTTTCATCAAAACTTAATCAAAAAAGTTTCATCTTATTAAAAGTTTATATATATATAATATAATATATATATATATATATATATTATAATATATGATATATACATAAGTTAAATCACTTTATTAAATATTTTAATCAATAAATTTAATTTAAAATGGATTCAACTTAACCGGCGGTATCTTTCGGAAAGCTGGAAAACAAGCGTTCGCCAAAGTTACCTAGTCGAACCAACGGGTCCATCCTCAGTTGCTTGACCAGCGTCCCAATTGCTAAATCAGTTTTTGGATTTGAAAGAACCTGTTCAACCAATTGAACTGACAGTAGCTAACCGATTTTAAAACAATGATTACAAGTAGCTAGCAGGACCAAATGTTTTTAAAAATTGTGTATTCGGGATTGAGGCTTTTCATTCTGAGCGCGAATGCGGGTAAGCCTCAAGGCGTTTTTGAGGCATAAGCCTCAAATCAAAAAGATTGCAGTAAAACATTAAAATGATAAAATTTTTTAATATAAAGAGTGAAATAAATATAAAACAAAAAAAAGCTAAGATATGAAGTGAATCAAAAATATCTCAATAATAAGACAACATATAATAGTTCAACTCAAAATTCTATCTTTCCAAAATCCCAGTATTCTTTTCTATTAACATATAATTTCCAATTTCTAAAAATAAATAACAATGACATATCCACATAAGAACTCATAAATCATCAACACTGTTCATCACTTAATGGCGTTCTTTCATTTGAATCACATATATGAATTGAACTGCTCGTCCTCCACCTTCCCTTAACCTCTCCTAGTAGAGTCAATGTCGCGCATTTACTCTTAAGATTTCTATAAGTTTTAAGTATCAGTATAATATAGCGTGAGGCGTAAGCCTCATGACAGTGAGGCGAGGCGGGCCCCAACCAAGTTGAGGCGCAAGCCTCATAACAAAAACTCGAGGCGTAAGCATCGAGGCGTTTTTTACTGGAATTGCGCAAAGGCGGGCCTCAAGGCGAGCCTCATATTGCGCAATTTTAAACTACTTTTTGCCCACAAGGAATGAAAGAGGCACGAAACTGACTTTTGATTCATCAAAAGAACTATAAGAGTAAGAGGAATTTGATTGTATGAAGGAATAAAGCAGAATTAAGATCTACTGAGAAGAGAAGAAAGGTGTAAAGGACTTAGAGTGCCGACATCTTGCATATTTTTTATCCATAATATTAAGTTGTTGTATTCATACATTGCATCTTCTTGAACATTAATAAAAGTTTTTCCTTTAAGTTTCTTTCTATTTGACGAGTCATTCATGAGATTATTAAGTCAAATCAAGCTAGTAAAGCGCAAAATAAAAACATGAGGAACTCATCCCGTATCCTTGAATGTATTCAAAGAGGGGTAAATTAATTGGTTAAGAAATTAGTATGATCTCGATCCCAGGGTCAACTCTAAAAGCAACTAAATTACTCCCTATAAGAAAGGCCCAAGGGAAAAGATCTATATGAGGGCTGAGAACCAAGAGGAACAATCTATGCGTAATGAAGTCGTCTTTTTATCTTAGCTGAGTAACTTATATTAGCTTACCTGAGTAACTTATATAAGTTAAAAAGATTCTATGAATCTCAGTAACAAACCAAAAAAATTAAAAATTTTGAAACATTATAGTCATCATACTCACTTGCCCCTTCTTTCTCTTGCCTTTCAGGGGAATCGTATAAATCACCCACAAGGCCAATCAAGCCTTCAGAAACAACTACAAGGAATTAATCATATGAGAAATACAAAGTCTAGACCTTAAAGATGATTACCTCCTTTACGACAAGATCCACATGAGCAGAGTGCAAGCCCATATCAATTGATGTGCTCCCCGCAAAAACTCTAGTTTGAGAAAATGCAAGGTCCATCTCAGGCCACAGCGAGTAAGGAAATCAACAAAAATCTTTGCCCTGAAAGGTGACCCAATACGTGCCAAGATTCACAATGACTAGAGTGCGAGTGTCTTCAAGATGGAAGTCCAGATGACTACCTCCACAATGACTCAAGCACGGCGAAAGGTGAGGCCCATCTAAAGTGATGGCAAGTGAGTTGATGAATGAAAAGCCTAGCATGGGAAGGCGGGGCCCATCTAAAGCAAAAGTAAGGCAAAGAACAAAAAGCTTTGCCCTGAAAGGTGAGTCCCTAAATTGTGATAAGATCTTAAATAATTAGAGTGAGAGTCTGTCTTTACAAGTGAGTCTAGATGGGTACCACCATAATAACTCAAATATAAAGAAAGGCGAGGCCTATCTAAGACGACAACAAGTTAGGCGATAAACAAAAAGCTTAGCCCTAGAAGGCTGCTCACCCCTTTACATCAAAATCAATGAATAGAATACAACTGTCTTCAAGCTGGCGAGTTAAGATGGTTATTCTTGCGAAGACTTAAGTCTAGCAAAAGGCAAGGTCCATCTAAGGTGGCATCATTATAAACTTCCCACACAAGAAATAGCGAAGTTAAAAGTTATAGTATTATTTCTAAAAACTACAAGTGAAAATATGAGTCGATGGTCACTCGCCCAACATTCAAACAAAAGAGACACATATATGACAATAAAAAAGTAAATAACGAGTAAGCACATTTTTCATTCATTTATCCCAAAAAATTATATTTCATGTTTTCTATTACAAACTAAAAATAATAATTTAATGGGCAAAATTATTCATTGGCAGCCTTGGCTCCATCGCTCTCATCCTACAAGAATATTTAAATCAAAGCATAAAAATTATCTTTATCTTCAAATATATTGTCAAGTTCCTAGCAAATGACTAATTTTTGCAGATAATTCTCGATGCCTTCATCATATTTCACACTGAGTAAATTGAGGCACTGCTGCAAATCAAAGAAGGTTGCCCATTGATCCACCTTCAAGATGGACTCTTGGCATGTTGGGCGGGCTCTTCGGCATTTCCCTTTGCCAACTCTTCAATCTCCTTCCAAGCGACCTTCTTCATTAACTCACATTTTGTAAACTGAATTTTCCTCTCATTTGATTGGTGAAGGTTGAAGTCCTCACAAAGGGATGCCTTCACTTGTTGGGTATCATCCTCTAGTTGGGCAACTTGTTTGGCCTGCTTCATATGCTTGCGGGCCAGCGAGTAGCAACTTCACGAGGTCATATTACAATCACCCATGACGACAAAGTCCAACTCCAAGGTAGAAACAACATCAAACATATCTTCTACACCAACAACTAACAACAACATCTTTGAAAGCCTACAAAATTCAAGCCTAACATATAAAAGAGAATTACTACTACATTAATTCATTCAGATAGAAAATTAACACGAAAAAAACCGTGCATAATCAAAAGGCAGCTATACATCCAATATGCACAATTTTAATAAATAATGTGACAAAGGTTCTGCACACTAATAAAAGAAATCTAAGAATTGAATATGTTCGATGGGATGAGGGGAAGCATAAATATCAACATAAATTATTCATTTCGATCATAAGTATAAACAAAGCTAACCTCTATATAATCCATGACAGCATTCCTGATCAATTCGTCTTCCTCTGGTGTGAAACGCTTGCCCCACACCAAATTATCCGGACCCAAATTTTCATTAATAAACTGAGCTAGTGGGAACTCAACTTTATCAGAAAAGCTTACTTCCTTTTTACCTATTTTTGTATCTTTCTTTAATTCACAATTATATGACTCATTAATGCTGCAACCTTTTCCAGTATTAAGTGTGTTCATATCTGATTTGCTCTTTTCAAAATTTTTAGTTGTTGAGGAAGTGCTTCTTTGATCACCTTTCTCTTTTCTGGTTGTCATTGCAGGTGTTAGTTCTGTACAACTAGCTAAATATTCCTTTTCCTTCTCCTTCCTTTTATCCTTATTGCTTAAATGTGCTCTTGACAGAAGCTCTTCAGCATTACCTCCAGAAATAACCTTATATGCCTCCTTTGATGCATCCTTGGCCATTTTCTTTGAACTACCCTTATCCAGTTCATGCTCTAGAAAATAACCTTCCCTTTTTCTTTTTTTATCCTGCTCTTTAGCTTCATCCCAGTTGCAGTTCTCAGTGAATGTTGTGGAATTTTCATTCTCCTTATAATTCCCCTTTTTCTTTTTATGCCTCTTCTTATCCTTTTCAATTTGCATGGGACCACCAAGGATAATCTCATCTTCCAAATTTGCGCCTTCTTCATCGGAGGCATTCTTCAAAGAGTTGAACTCAGTAATTCCCTTTTGATTGCTTTTTTTCTTTTCTTTCTTATGCTCCTCCTTATATTTCCTACCTTCCTTAAAACCCCCATCAGTAGCCCTGTTTTCTGAACAAGACATACCTTCATCCAAGAAATTCGCTGAAGATGTAAGTTCTTCGCTCCTATTATGCCTGCTACTTTTATGCATGGGGGATGTTTGGCAACCGAACTTACGGAGGATTTGAGCAGTATTTAGCGTAAATCCTGCCAAACAGGACTTCGATGCGGCATAAATCTGACGGCGGAATAAATCCGCCGTTACCACTTTTTGGGTTAAATCCCGGAGTTCGGCGGATTTACCGGATTTGGCCGACGAAGCGCGCAAAAGGGATAAAATGTTACCTTAGCAACGAGAGAGCTCCCTCCCGTCTTCGTCACTTCAGATCCAGCAGACGAACGCCGAGCTGTCGTGACTTCCGATCCGACAGGAAGGAACGTCGTCGAAGGAGGCGAAGAAGTTTTTTAGCGACTAGTTCAAAATTTTACCTCTCACGCGAAGCAAGCGAAGTCGAACTGCCGGAGAAGAGGAAAAGCAAACCCTAGGCCCACGGCTACAAGAAGACAGTAGAGATATTTTGATAATTTAATCTGATTAATAAAAAATATAATATTATTAATAAATAATTAGTAATATAATTAGTTATGAAAATTATTATAATTAACTTCATTAATATAGTTTGAAAAAATTTATTAATTTTAAACTAATAGGGTAAATGATAATTAAAAAATTAACAAGCATAACACTTAAGTGATTAATAAGATAATTAAAAATATAACTATTTAAGTAATTAGTTATTTCAAAAATTAATTAGCTATAAATATTTATTGAATTAACATATAAATGAGTAATTTGATTTTTACTATTATAATTAGTAGTTAAATTATTTGATAATTAGGCAAACTTCTAATTACATTATCTATTATTAGAACTTATTGATGGTAATTAAACTAAAATTAATAAGTGACTCGTACTTAACATGTAATAAAATTTATAATATATTAAATTTAATTTTTAAATGAATCAGTCACTTTAAATCCTAAATTACATTTTAAATAGTTTCATAGGATTTAATGACTATTTTACCAATTCAAAGTTTAGTATACATAGTATTTACTAAATCTTGAATTTATAGATTTTATTAAATCATAATAAAGTTAAATCCTTCTTTTGCAAAATAGCCCCATGGTGCATCCCCTTTCCTATGTTCTTCGCTCCTCCCACATCAACAATATTAGAGCCATCATTCACCGTTATATCATCACTTATTTTCTCTAAGAAATAAATATAAGAATTTATCAAAATGTAAATAAATATTCCTTCTTACTGATATTAATAAATATTAGGTTCATAAAAATAGGGGGGAACTCTAAATTATTGATGTATCGAATACCTAATGCTTATTTAGAAGGTTCAAACCATAAATTGGACGATTAAACCATTTTCAAATGTGACATGCTTATAGTCTAATCGAGTGGTTCAACGAGGCAAATTTAATAAGCCTAAGATAACCAAATTCTGATGTCATTAAGATACTCAAATACTGAATAAATGATCCATGATCATGGGAGTCAATATCGGCAAGCCATACGGAACACTCCCAACATGCCCATGATCTTCTCCCTATTTACTAGCCATGTCACTCCCAAAAAATTATAAATAGACCCCTCATTCTTCATTAGTGGGGCACCAAGCAAGGAAGATAATGAAGAGAGGAAAGGAAAAGAAATCAAAGTTCTCTTGCCATCATACTCTTCAACTATCGCCCGACGATTTTATCATGTTGGTGTAACTAATAGTCTCACGATTTTGTCCTGTTGGTGTAACTTCCCAATAGGTCACATATCCAATAATTGCTTTAATATGAGCGCGCTTAACTACTGAGTTTTTTAATAAAATTTTAACCATTACACCAAAAAGGTGTCTCGATGTTTAAGAGTTTAGCTTCTTTTACTTAAGGGGTTTCACAATTTCCCCCCCACTAAGTAACTAACTTTCTCGTTAGCATCTTTATCCCAGAATCATCTACCAGGTAAATAGAATTCTAGTGGTGTCCCCTATATGTTCAAGTGATAACACCCGTCATGTAGCACTTTGTCTCATACATGGTTTACAAGGTGGCTCCCATAACATAACACTTTGTCTTGTATGGCACTTAGTTCCTATCATTTGGTTGGTGTATTGCTTTAATATCATTTGTGATAGCCCAAACTCTTAACTATCAATATATTGTCCACTTTAGCCTAAGTGCCTCATAGTTTTATCATATTGATGTAACTTCCCAATAGGTTACTCATCCCAAAATTGCTCCGAGATGAGCATGCTTCACTACTGAGTTTCGTAATGAAATTTCAACTATTACAACAAAAGATGTCTAGATGTTTAAGAGTTTAACTTCTTTTATTTAAAGATGTTCACACCTACCTAGCTGGCGAATGTCGTCTCGGTACAGAAAGCTAGTGGAACTTAGAGAATATGTGTGGACTATATAGACCTTAACAAAGCCTATCCAAAGGATAATTTTCTACGTTCTTGTATTGAGCAATTAGTCAATACCATATTCGAACATCAAATGTTAAGCTTCATAGATGCCTTCTCCGATTACAATTAAATAAGATGAATCATATGGATGAGGATGCAACAACTTTTCGAGCATATAATGGGTTGTGTTGTTTTATAGTCATTCCATTCGGGCTCAATAATGTTGGAACCACATATAAGTGCCTCATGAATAAGGTTTCAAATACCTTATTACATGCACTTTGCAAGTATATGTCGATGATATATTGGTAAAAAGTCTCAAAAATCACAATATATCTATGGCTTGGAATAATGCTTTCATCTTTTGTGATATTACAACATGCAACTAAACCTTACCAAGTGTGCTTTGGAGTCACTTCGAAAAAGTTCATGGGTTTCATGGTAACCCATCAAGGGATTGTGGCTAATCTTAAAAAGGTCAAGGCACTAAGAGATATGGTGCTTCCATGGAATATCAAGGAAGTCCAAAGGCTGAATGGAAGTATTACAGTATTATCTCATTTTTTGGGCCAGTTAGGGGGTAAGTACTTTTTTTTCTTCAAGATACTCAGTGGTGCTTGAAGCGCGGGGTTCCAATGAACTCGTAAATGTTAAGAAGCTTTTGAATAACTATAAAAGTATTTGGTATCGCCGCCATTACTTTTGTATCAATACAGGGAAAAAAGTTGTATTTATACCTAGTTATTTCTACATATATTATCAGCTCTATCATGATTCAAGAGGAGAATGTTGTGCAACATTCTACCTAGTATGTTAATAACATCTTATCCAAAATAGAGTGATTATATTCACTAGCAGACAAAATAGCATTAGCATTACTTTACTTAGCCCAAAAATTATGCTTTTACTTTCAAACTCATATAATTGGGGTTTATACAAATCTCCCATTAAAAAACATCCTTCAAAATCAGAAGCATCTAGCAGATTAATGAAGTGGTCAGTAGAACTAGGAGAGCTTAACATACATCACTTACCTAAGCCTGACATCAAGTTTCAAGCACTCGTAGACTTTATGGTTGAATGCACCATTCATAAATCTAATGAGCCGCCATGTATTCCTCCTTCTCTCTTGTACTGGATATTATATGTCAATGGAGCTTCTGAAAATTCCTATGCTTGAGCAAATATTTTGTTAATCTCTCCACAATAAGTTACCATTAAATACGAGCTCCGATTGAACTTCCTTATAACGAACAAAATTACATAGTACAAAGCCCTCATTCTCATGTTAAGGATGGCTATAGATTGTGACATACAAAACTTGATAATTCAAACCAATTCATAACTGATCATCTCCTAAGTGGAGGGAGAATTTGATGCCCATAACCCCCCATTTGTCCTAGTACTGTAACACGGTAAAGTCGCTCTTAGCCTATATAAAAGAGCATGCATCAAATCATCCATATTCTCCAAGAGAAAATGTATGAGTATATGTTTTCTCCACACTTGCTACATAAATAATTGGGTCATCTTCAAGAGAAAGTGTATCAAGGAGAATCACTTTCCTAGTATCCAAGGTCTATTGATCATACAATTGATTCGTCTCATCTTATCCTTTTTAAAATATGGTGGTTGCTTGAAGATATAATAATTACAACATTACTATATAGGCATGTAATAAATCTCATTACTATTAGGGGAGAGTTACACAAATGATCCTTCACTAGATCATAACTCAAGTGTCTTCTACCTTCAGAAGCTAATTACGCACTTCGAGAAGTTCATTCAGTAATATGCGAAGAGCATTTGGGAGGAAAAGCATTAGCATATAAGATCATCAAACGGGGGTTTTATTAGCAAACAATAAAATATGGTGCACTTAAATTCACTCAAAAGTCTAAAAACTATTAATTGTATTCCAATCTCACCCATATGATTGTTGTAGAGCTTTATTACTCCAAAGTATATGACCTTTCGCCCAATGGAGAATTCGATATAATGAGAACTTTTTTTATAACCACTGAATAATAAAAATTTATCATCAAGTCTATAGACTACTTCACCAAATGGGTGAAAGCAGAACCTCTAACAAAGATTATAGAATCTAATGCCAAATAATTCTTATGAAAAAATATAATATGTCATTTTGGCATCACTACAAGGATCATCACCGATAATGGGACTCAATTCACTAATTTTTTTTTTAGATCTTTTTATAAAGATTTTCATATCCAACTGGTGTACATAGTCGTAGCATATCCTCAACACACAAATAAAAAGAGGTTATAAATTAAACAATACTGAAAGGGTTGAAGACATGCCTAAGGAAGGTTGGGGGGGAAATGTGTCAAGGAACACCCAAAAATTCATTATGCTCATTGAACCACCGTAATGTTGACCTTGTATTTGTATAACTTTATCAAGGCCCATTCTATGTTCAATCATCCTCTAAATCCGCCCTTCAAATAACCCTTAATTCAATTTCCACTCCAGACTTCAATCCTGCCCGCAAATCAACCTTCAATCGAGCCTTCAATCAAACTCAATTATATCCAGCCAACTACAATCATTTATTTAATTTTAATTAGTATGGATAATCCAAATTCAATCAATAAAACCTAAAGCCTTGTCCATATCCATAATTTTATGTCAAAATCCAATGTAAAGGGCCTTATCCTGAAATCCTTTCTAGGTGGTTTTTCAATCACTTCTAAACCCAATCAAAAAACCCCGATTCATGATATATCAATTTCATATTTATTATGCATGTCTCTAGGGTTAACCTTCCAATTTGAGCCCATTATGAGGCCTCTAATTCTAGAAACTAAATTGATTTCAAAAGGCTATAAAATATTAAAATATTTATAGTCTATGCCACTAGACCTACCACTTTATGGAATTTAACCTTGGGGCTTATCCCAATACCCTCTACCATACCCATAGCATTTGTTATGACATGTTGACTAGTAAATTGCATTTTATTGGACCCAGTTTGACCTAGAGTTGGCTAGGGGTCAAAATGACCAAAATGCCCTTTAATGACAAATTTGAACTTTTCCCCAAAACTCAA